CGCTGTGGGTCAGAATCCCCTCCAGGCACTGGGTTTGGTTTGGGCTTTGCTTCTGTGAAGGTAGGAGCTCTGGTGGTGCAGTGCCTAAGGCACTTGACTGCTAACCAGAAGGCTGGTGGTTCAAACCCACCAGCCACTCCTCGGAAGGAATATGGGGCAATCTACTTCTGTGGTGATTGTTGTTGTTGTTGTTATGTGCCATCAAGTCGGCCCCGACTCATAGCGACCCTTCCTTGGGTTTCTGAGGCAGTATCACTACGGGAGTAAATTGCCCCACCTTCGTTCCGGGGAGTGGCTGGTGGGTGTGAACCCCCAGGCTGGTATGGTAGACCCGATATCCGGAATACCCATTCCCCAATACAACCAACAAACTGTTGGAGCGTGAGAATCCCTTTAATGCACTGCTGACCTGGCACAGAATGGAGACCCCACAGAGGTAAACTGGGGGCAGTGGTGGTTCCGGGACAGCACTTCCAGCTTCCACCCGGGAGCCCCGAGTTCGATTCCCCGCCAGGGAGGGCACCTCGCTGCAGCCCCCACCCGGCTGTCCGTGGAGGCCTGCGTGTGGCCAGGATTCTGACCGGGACTCAGTGGAGCTTCCAGACGGAGAGGCCGGGAGAAAGCCCTGGGACTGACCACTGAGGAGTGCAACCCCGTGGGTCATAACAGTGTGACCGGGACCCTGCCGTGGGGCGGGTGCAGGGCGGGCGGCGCTCCGGCCTGTGGCGTGGGGTGGCCAGCGTTCTGGGACCAACTCAGTGACCGCGGGGAGCACAAAGTGGAGTTGGAGCCGGCATCACCCGCAAAGAGCGAGGCAGGTCGTGTTGCCAGAGGCCCCAGCGGTTAGCGAGGGCTGTAGGCATGGGCCCCACACCATCTTCTGTGGGTTCCTTGCTTGGTTCTTTCTTCTTTGCCTTGTTTTCTTTGGAGGGAGCAGCGGGAGACTAAAGCCTCCTATCCTGGTTCCCTGGTGCCACTCTGACAAGAATACACCACAAATGGGGTGCCCTTAACAAACAGGAGTTCATTCTCTCACAATTTGGAGGCTTTAAGTCCGAGTTCAAAGTGCCAGGCTCTAGGGGCTGAGTGAAAGCCCCTCAACCTTGGGGTCCAGCCCTGCCTCCTGCCCCCGGCC